TAAGCTGGGACTTGAAGATTAAATTCACCACTGGCAGAATGATGCTAAGAGTGCCTATCAGGTCTAAGCATGTGCAGCTGACACAGCAAAGGCTGTGGCATTGTGTAACTAGATGACCTGTACTGGGACCAGCAAGTAGTGTGGAGACCCTGCCACAGTGGCAGGTCAGGATAGGGTTGGTGCATTGTGGAAATACTGAAAAGCAACATAATCAAGTCTAAATATTACCAAAATAGCCCAGCTATACCCTGGAAGATGAAATACATTAAAAAAATGAAAGCAGGGAATCTGTTATGAAACTCATCATTGCAGCCTGAACTGGGGCAGTAGCTGTGAGAACAGAGAAGTGAGGACAGAATTAACAGCAACTTGGAAGGGCAGTGGAAAGCACTTGGTGATCATCTGAATATGGGGACAGAGGAAAGATTCAGGGATGACTGTATTTCTAGAACAAAATAAAAACAGGAAGAGCAGCAAGTCTGGGTAGTCAGATAATGAGTTCAGTGCTATAAATATTAAGTTTGGGGTATCTGCAGGAAGAGTATCAAGTAGGGAGTTTAAACTGAATTTCTGGAGTGCAGGATAAACTCATTCAGGGTGGTGGGGGAGAAGAGAAGTTAGAGAAAAATGGACAAAGTGGAGCTTTAAAAATAATTTCTGTACATCTTCAAAGCCAGAATCAGATATCCCAAAAAACCTCTCTACACCAGCAAAATTGGATAATACATTGAACCTTAATATACCTCGTGTACTCACTTTATGCCTTTTCTTTCCTCTATTCAACTTACAGTCATTAAGTACCTACTGTGTGTCAGCTACTCTCCTAGATGTGGGGGATACAGATGTGGAAAAGCCTAAATACTAACATTAGGCCATTTATATTTTTGTACAAGAGAGATTCTAGAGCAAGGGTATTTTAGGTGTGAAGTACAAGTACATAGACTCTAAAATGGGCATGAACTTGGTAGGACCAGAAAAATTACAAGGCATGCAAGCTGGCTAGAACAGACAGAATGATCATAGAATGTCTTATAGCATTGCTGATGCTGTTCTCTTACATTGTTACTAATAACATTATTTAAAAAAAAAAACTGTCAAAAGATCTATATGCTGTCTTCTCAATTCTCCCCAGGCCTCCTCAGTGACTACAACAATGCTTTACATAAAGTAGGTGCTCTTTTTTCATTCATTTAGCTGTAATTGTGGGTTAAGATCTCTAGGCCTGTTTGGTCCCACTCTCAAACACATGTGTGCTAATCCCAGATGTTGCTTACCATCTGGTAAGCATCTGGTGATCTATTTTTAGTACTATTGCGGTCAGTAGGAAACCCAAGCTGTGTTTAGAGCAACACAGAAAGGCCAGGTACCAAGATCTATGCTTCCTATTTGTAAACCTGTTAGTTTTACTTAGACTGCAATATTGGATATTGACATAGAAAGAAATCCTGCTCATGCTCAGAGAAGCTGTAGGCTTTGCTGCAGTACTAAGCTTAAACATTATGCTAATATTATTATTATCCCACAAGGGTGTCTTGAGGATTAATGAGACATTTTCAAATCACTTTGAGCTACTCCACTGGTGGTATTAAATAAAATGATATGTGTTCCCACTGAAGTGCCATTTTTGACATTGATTTGTTGTGATGGGTTCTGCTGTCCAACAGGGCTGGAATGTACCCACCAACTCATTTCCTGTAGACAGCCAACTATCCATCAGAAGGCAGTATTTTTCAGCTTAAATAAATATGAATTTAAGCGAACTAGTCAGCAATCAGAAGCAAATAGACTGCTGTTAGAAATCAAGCATTTATTAAGTATTCACAGTGATCAACATAAGAGTTTCACAGTGTGATACAGTAGAACAAATACTGGATTTGGAAATGGTCCAAGATTTTAGGCCTTGCTCTACAACTAACTAGCAATGTGAATTGAACAATTGCTGAATTTGGGAATCAAATATAATATAGGGGGTGTTCTAAGAAGCTCATAATCAGAGCCTTCCAGACAAGGCAAATACATGAAAAGAATGGAAAAAGTAATTTCTGAAGAAGAGATATTCACCGCAGGGAAAGAGTTGTGATCATCCATCACAGGACCATTATCTGCTCTGAACTTCCTTGTGATTGATTAATATTAATTTCAGTACTAATTCATGCAAAATGAAAAATAAATCACTTTCCAAGCCAGACATAGAAGTTCATGAAACATTTGGTCTTTAAAAATAGGGTCTTTGCCTTTTTATGAGTTATCCTTGAAGCAAACAATCTCTTGTTCTTATATTTAAATATGATTAATATCTGCTATCTTAATCATCAACTTAAGAAAATACATGAAAAATGATGAGGGACAGTCACACAAAACAGCATTCTGGAATTTTGTAAGTGTATTTTACATGACTCCAGATGCTAATCTCTCACCAGCTACCACTTACAGAGCTGCACACTGATCTGCTGTGCAAGACGAAGGAAGGGACAGTAAAGAACATGGGTACTTATACTGGAAGAGCCAGACGCACTAACCTTGTGGAATGCATAAGAACTATTCTGTACCATAAGCTCAGTGAGCTCTATGTTTGTCTCAGGAAGCCCCGGGGCCTGGGCTCAAGAAAGGTTGACATCAAGAGCAACTAGAAATATAATAGATAAATAAATAAATACAAACAACAGAAAATTTTGGGGGGAAATTTGATTCCACACATACTGATTTCCCACTTCTAGAAATAAAAATTGGGTAATATCTAGTCTTTACCCTCAAGAGTCTCGTGGTTGGAAGTGGCACTGGGAAAATACTGGCCACAAATTACTCTTTAAATCTAATTGTCAACCCACTTCAGACGATGAGGATTTGTCAATATTCTCTGTCATAAATGATTTGAATTATATATTAGAACATGACTTTTTTAAAGACTTATTTATCATTTGAAAGGGAGAAATTTATCATTTGACAGCAAGATAGGGAGAAACGGAAGTCAAGGGAACAAATCTTCCTTTTGCTGGTTCACCTCTAAATAGTCATAACAGCCCAGACTGGGCCAGGCCAAAGCCAAGGTCCAGGAATTCCATCCTGGTCATCTATGTGGGAGGCAACAATCCAATTTCTCAGGTCATCTTCCACTGCCTTCTGGGCACATTAATAGAAAATTGGATTAAAACTAGAGCATTCACAACACAATCAGTACTCCAAGGCAGGATGCCAGCGTCACAATCCACAGTTTCATCCATTATGCCACACCTACCCTGCATTTTTCTTTTAAGCCTAGGGTTGACAAATTATATTGAAATTGCTAAAATTTCTGGAAGCAGATATTGTGCTCAAAGTGACCATGACAATTTGGACAAATAGTTTTAGCTCAAAGGGGATAAACAGAAGTCATTTCTCAGCCCAAATCAAGCAACAGAATAACATTCTCCAGTTTACCAACTAGAACGTAGAATTTACGTATTAAGTATTAATAAGCATGGTGACTTAACAGGCTACCCTTCTGCCCGGTAACAACAGCATCCCACATGGGCACCAGTTTGAATCCCAGCTGCTCCACTTCTGATTCAGCTCCTTGATAATGGCCTGGGAAAGCAGTGGAGGATGGCCCAAGTCTTAGAGCCTCTGCTTCAGTGGTCTCAAAGGCCAGAGCTGGACTGATCTGGTCTCAGGCTGGGAGCCTGGAGCTTTTTTTGTTTGTTTGTTTGGCTTTAGTTCTTGCTTTATTTTTAAGATTTATGTTTTATTTGAAAGGAACATTTACAGAGAAGGGGAGACACACACACACAGATTTTAATCTCCCATCTGATGGTAACTCCTAAAATGACCACAGTGGAGAGAGTTGGGCCTTCCAGGATCCAGGGATTTCTTCCAGGTCTCCCATGTGGGTTCAGGGTCCCAAGGACTCGGGAAATCCTCCACTGCTTTCCCAGGTCAAGAGTGAGGAGCTGGATAGCAAAGAAAGCAACTGGCAATGAATGGCCTGAGGGGGTGAGGAAGGCTCTTCCCAAAGGCAGAGATTTAGTGTGCTATGCCACAACATCAGTCCCTCTTCCTGTTTCTTATTTTTTTTTTAAGATTTATTTATCTTTATTGGAACATTAGATTTACAGAGAAGAGAGACAGTGAGAAAGATCTTCCATCCACTGGTTCACTCCCCCAAGTGACTGCAACTGCGGGAGCTGAGCCTATCTGAAGCTAGGAGCCAAGAACTTCTTCCAGGTCTCCTATTTGGATCAGGGTCCCAAGGCTTTGGGTTGTCCTCAACTGCTTTCCCAGGCCACAAGCAGGGAGCTGGATGGCAAGTAGAGCAGCCAGGACATAAACTGGCAGCCCTATGGGATCCTGGTGCATTCAATACAAGGACTTAAGAAACTAGGCTATTGCGCCAAACCCCCATTTTGTTTTTTGGGATTCATTTAATGTATGTGAAAGGCATAGTGACAAAGTGGTGGGGGCTTTCCATCTTCTGGTTCACTCCCCAAATGTGTGCACAAGGCAAGACCCAGTTTGCCACCATGGGGGAGGAATCCAAACACTTCAGTCATCATCACCTGTGTCTCCCAGGGTGCCCCTTAGCAGGAAGCTGGGATTAGAAGCAGAGGCTGGACTTGAACCAGGCACTACTGTATGGTTCACAAGTCAGCTCAGCACAACAATGTGGATCCCAGGAAGCTGAACTTTTTGCACTGGACATGGTGCGTTTCCGTTTTCATTTGCCTCCTGTTTTCTCATAGACAGGAAATCTCAAAGTCTTATGACCAGGCTGCCCTCGCTAACCCCAACCTGAAATGGTTCTTGATTCTTGGCCGGTGGTCAGCGTTTGCTACAGAATCAAGGTCCTTGAATGCCTGTAATGACCAATTGCTTTCAGACTCCGGCTGCCAAGCCCATTAACACCCATTCCTCCGTTCTTGCTTAGCTCCTCAAGAGTAAAATCATTGAAAACATCCCGGTCCCTGTCTGAGCAGCCCTCCACTCCCACATTGGTACCATCCTCATCTCCTACCTGGGATGCTCACCTGTCCCTGCCAGTCCCTCCTTGGGCAATGCTCTCATGAGTGACGGGGGAGATGGGAGAAGGCGCCAGGAGGCCCATGTTGTGCTCCCTCTCCTGCTGCCTCCACCCTCTGAGGTCCAAACGCCCCACGACTGCAACCGGTGGCCAGGGGTTGAGGGACGGAGGTCCGCTGACAGAAGCGAGCTGAGCCTAGAGGGCCTAGGTCGGCTGGGCAGAGGTTTCGGGGGGAATCGGGCACTCCTCAAGTGCAAAATAACAGCGTCTGTGTGCCACACAGGGGTCAGGAAGACAGCGGCCAGCGGCAAGCACGCCGGCTCGCCCGGGGAAGCGGGGGCGCGCGCCCGCGCGGTGGGCGGGAATCCTGAGGGGACGCGGAGGGCGGGCGCGCGCCGCGAGGGAGAGGGTGGCGGGGAGCGAGGGAGAGGCGTGAGGAGGCGTCCGTGTGCCGAAGCCGCTCCGGCCGCGCCAGACCCAGACGGAGCCTCGCGGCCGCTGCAGCAACAGGCGGCGGGCTCGCGGAGGAGGCGGCCCCAGGGGCGGGGAGCGCGAGGAGGAGCGCCCGCCGCCGCCTCTCCCCCGCCGCATGGACGAGCACCTCAGCCTCCTGCGCTCGCCGCCGCAGCCCTCCGCCCGCCACCGCACCCACCCGCCCCAGGACCCCGCGAGCAGCGGCGGCGGCGGCGGCGCCCACACGCTGGTGAACCCCGGCTACGCAGAGCCCGCCGCAGACCCGGAGCTGCCTCCCGACATGACCGTGGTGCCCGGGGACCACCTGCTGGAGCCCGAGGCGGCCGACGGCGGCGGGGACCCGCCTCAGGGTGGCGGCGGCGGCTGTGACCGCTACGAGCCGCTGCCGGCCGCTGGCGAGCAGGAATGCTGCGGGGAACGCGTGGTCATCAACATCTCGGGGCTGCGCTTCGAGACGCAGCTCAAGACCCTCTGCCAGTTCCCGGAGACGCTGCTGGGCGACCCCAAGCGGCGCATGAGGTACTTCGACCCGCTCCGCAACGAGTACTTCTTCGACCGCAACCGACCCAGCTTCGACGCCATCCTCTACTACTATCAGTCCGGGGGTCGCATCCGCCGACCTGTCAACGTGCCCATCGACATCTTCTCCGAGGAGATCCGCTTCTACCAGCTGGGCGAGGAGGCCATGGAGAAGTTCCGGGAGGACGAGGGCTTCCTGCGGGAGGAAGAACGGCCCCTGCCCCGCCGTGACTTCCAGCGCCAGGTGTGGCTGCTCTTCGAGTACCCCGAGAGCTCCGGGCCGGCCCGGGGCATCGCCATCGTGTCCGTGCTCGTCATCCTCATCTCCATCGTCATCTTCTGCCTGGAGACACTGCCCGAGTTCCGTGACGAGAAGGACTATCCTGCCGCGCCGTCGCAGGACGGGCTGGAGGCGGCCGGCAACGGCACGTCGGGGACCCCCGCGGGAGCCTCCAGCTTCTCCGACCCCTTCTTCGTGGTGGAGACCCTATGCATCATCTGGTTCTCCTTCGAGCTGCTCGTGCGCTTCTTCGCTTGTCCCAGCAAAGCCACCTTCTCGAGAAATATCATGAACCTGATCGACATCGTGGCCATCATTCCCTATTTCATCACCCTGGGCACCGAGCTGGCCGAGCGACAGGGCAACGGACAGCAGGCCATGTCTCTAGCTATCCTGAGGGTCATCCGCCTGGTGAGGGTCTTCCGCATCTTCAAGCTGTCCCGCCACTCCAAGGGGCTGCAGATCCTGGGGCAGACGCTGAAGGCTTCCATGCGCGAGCTGGGGCTGCTCATCTTCTTCCTCTTCATTGGAGTCATCCTCTTCTCCAGCGCCGTCTACTTTGCTGAGGCTGACGACCCCACTTCGGGCTTTAGCAGTATCCCAGATGCCTTCTGGTGGGCAGTGGTGACCATGACGACAGTCGGGTATGGTGACATGCATCCTGTGACCATAGGGGGAAAGATTGTGGGCTCTCTCTGTGCCATCGCAGGTGTGTTGACCATTGCGCTGCCAGTCCCCGTGATTGTTTCCAACTTCAATTACTTCTACCACCGGGAGACAGAAGGGGAAGAGCAAGCCCAGTACATGCACGTGGGAAGTTGCCAGCACCTCTCCTCCTCAGCCGAGGAGCTCCGGAAAGCAAGGAGTAACTCAACCCTGAGTAAGTCGGAGTATATGGTGATTGAAGAGGGCGGGATGAATCACAGTGCTTTCCCCCAGACCCCGTTCAAAACGGCCAATTCCACTGCCACTTGCACCACGAACAATAACCCCAACTCCTGTGTCAACATCAAAAAAATATTCACCGATGTTTAATAACTGGCACGAGGGCTCACTATTGTGTGGAACCTGCCCCCTTGGTCTGTGTATGCCCTTGTTTTATACATTTCCAGACCATTCATCAAGGAAAGGACATAAAGAAGTGGGACGCACACTTCATTTTCCCTCTCCCTATTGCTTCATACTGAAACAGGTGCCTGTTTTGCAAGTGGGCTGCATTCTCTCAGCTCTTTTTTTTCCCTCCCTCCCTCCTAATTTTGTGAGCAACAAACTTACATTACACTTGATTTCTAGTACACGCCCAGTTTTTTTTTAAAGTACATCCTGGGAGGAAATGAAACTAAAAAACAGTTAGAAGAACTGCTTAACCTCAAAATTGAAAAATAATTGCCTCTTTACTAAGTAAAGCAGACAAATGCTTACAGGATGCTGTGGCTTGATGGACTTTTAGACATTCATTATCTATTAAATAGTTCAGTTGCCTGCCCTGTGGGTATGTGGATAAAACAAAAAAGCACCCCCCAAAGTAACTCTTAAACCCACCAAAAATCTAGTTGGTTTTGGACTAGACTTTCAGTTTGAATCCTTCTTCCTGGAACTTGAAGGGTCCACTACAACTTTGAACAAAAGGAAATGCCCAAATCGTTCTGATCTGACTCTTCGGGACTTACAAAGCATTTCTAAAGTATTAACAGATTTCACTGTGCATATGTCCCAGCCAACATCTATCAAAGTCTAGAAACAGATGTTTTCAGTGCTGCTGAGACAAAGAATTTCCTAATGCATTTGAGAGATAAGCTTCTGCAGTATCACAAGAAGATTAAAGTGGCAGACACCCCTTCCAGCGGAAGTTACTAATTCGGACCTGACTGATGCAGTTCCCATAGCAACCTGTGTTTCCTGGGAAACCCGAAAAAGGTTGTCATGGCATCTCTTGCTCTCTAGCCCCACCCCCTAGCCCCTGCCGTTTCCACAGTAACCTTTCCAGATGGCTCCTACTTACATGATTTCATAAGAAAAAACAGTGTTTGAATAAACCGCACAAATAAAGTTAAATCTAAAGAAGGGAAATGAATTGTGACATGCATTTTTTTTTTCACTACGAAAATCGTTGATGTCATCCCATAATGACTGAATCAAGGAGGAAAATATTGTCAGTGGAACATTAGCTATGAACCACAATAAGACATTGTTTGAATTAAATGCCTGGTACTGGGCAGTAATGTTAAAGTATGCTACTCTACAATTTTTTTCTCTAAGAAGTTTCAAGCCAACAAATGAAATTAAGCAAATATAAAAGTGTTCTGTACATAAGCAAATGAGCGATTCAATCAGTGTACCCAAGACCTTATAAGGGACCGTCAGACTTCTTTAAAAAAAAAAAAAAAAGGTACAGATCCTACCACAGGACTGTCAACCATCACAGCACTTTGAAAAGCTAAATAGACTTCAAGTATATAAAAAATGCACATTTGTAGCTGAGGGAATTACAATTAGTGAAACGGAGGGACGGGAAGTCACCAGATCTTGGGGGAACACCTGCGAGTTTCAGCCATATGCCAAAGGTTGCCAGAAGACAGCTGGAATCAGGTGAGTGCTGACTGAAGGCAGTCCCCTTTTGTATAGAGCACTAGGAAAATGTCATTCACACACAGACTGATAATGTGTAAAATCAATAGTTTTATATCAAGTGCATGCTGCCAGGTGCCTTTTTAAAGATCATTCACACCTTTCCCATTTGATTTCCATGTTGCCAACTGTCCTTTGTTTCCATGCTTTACTGTAAAAGGATGGTAAAAAAAAAAAGTCTTTGCTTTCTAGAATAATCCTCACCCAAGCTGAACTGAAAATATATTCTATTTCTTTTACCATTGCTCTTGGCTTCTAAACAATCTGTTCCTCATTTAAAAGGGACAAAAGGCAGAACCTATGCACGTTAAATTATTTTGCATTATCCACAATTTTTATTTTGATAGCATCTTGCTGTTCTATCCTTGTAGAGTGAGAGTAACTTTTCAAAGCTTACAGTGTATTTTCAGGTATTCTGAGCTGGTGTACTTCATTATTTGAGAGAGTGGAGAATAATGATTGAAATTATAGGAGGGGAAGAGAAATGGAAAGAAAAAAATAAATGCAAGAACTCTGTATACAACTGGCCATGGGGTATTATTCTTACATATGTGGATATAAATAAGACTCTTTTTTCTAGTTTCCTTTGCTGAATAAAATAAAAATTTCCTTTAGCATTGATTTACCTTTGCCCAAACATTTGGTAACTTCTGACCCACTTCTGTAGTAATGCTAGAAACACTAGCAGTTACATAAAAATAATGTTTGCATATATTCTTAAAACAATCAAAGGTAAAGTACAATGACAGTTTTATTCACACTTATTCGGAATATGTGGAAGTTATGCCTATTCTAGAAATTTTGTGGTTATTCTATGACAGTAATTCTAAGGAAGCCTTTCTTTTTTTCAATCCAGAGAAATAATATGCCTATCGAGGCATAACTTTAAGGTAGTGTAATAGCTTGTAGCCGCCATATTGGAAGCTCCTTAAAAGTTATGGGTTATGTCTTGATTTTTTTCTGGTACTTTGAGCTTTGAATGCTATTTCCTAGCATAGAATGTTGTGCCTTGTATATTTGTTGATGGAATAGCTATTATCTTATACTAATGCTATTTTCAGGCATTTAATGAAGTGATTGAAGACGCAAGCTCAGCAGTTGTTTTACCAGGGTTTAAATCCTGAAATGCTGTTTGACCTTGACAAAGTCACTAAATCCTTCTTTGTCTCAGTTTCCTTATCTACAAAATGAGAATAATATTACTTCATGGGTTTGTCATGAATATTAAATGTTAACACAGACAAAACACTTAGAAAAAAATAATTGCATGACATGCATCAGAGATTTTGCTAAGAGATTACCTTATCTTGTGATCATTACAAACATTGTATAATTATTGCAAAACTTTGTGAATATGAAGCACATAATCAGTCTTATTTTTCTCTTTATAATAACAATAAGGATTATTATTATCATTTATGAAGGGTTAACCATGTCCTGGATTCTTGCCAAAGCTACAAGGTGGGTGTTATTAACTTCATTTCAGAATAAAAATCAATGACAAAGCTAAGTGATTTCCCTAAGACGTCACAGCTAGCCATAAATCTAGTAGCGATATAAAACCAGGTCAGTCTGGCTCCAAGACCTATGTTCCTTTTATTGAGTAATTTGAAAGGCAAAGTAAAATAAATTCATATTTGGGGGTTTGATTTCTGCCATGTCACTAATTAATGAATTTATGTAAAGAGCATGTTTCCTGAAGTCTCATTCAGCATAATTAAAATTAACCCCTTTTCCATAATTGAATGCTTTTAACCAGAAGGGTCAAAAGTAAATCATTGGCTTTTCTAATAACAAAAGATCTCTTGCTTCTATGATTGACTTATCTCAGAGATACAGATAAGTCAATGCAATCAGTCATTGTAATATCTGCTAAGACAATATTTTTCAGTTTTAAGATTATTTCCTGTTTTTACCTACTCTGGTCAACATTAGATGAGAAAATAATTGAAATTTTTTCATCTTCTGATACTTTGGTTAGGTTGCTGAGAATAATGCCATAAAGTAGTATAAATGTTTTTACTCTAATTAGGAAGGCAGGTCACTTAGGTCAGTGGAATTGAAAGCAGAATGACATTGTCAGTTCCTTGAATTTTGGAACGTTATTTCTGCACTCCAAAACTGCATAAATCTTTAAAAGCATCTATACTCAAAAAACATTAGAATCTGGTCCTATGTCTGAAGCACCTCTCTAAGGTCTTAAATCATTTATGGTATGAAATGAAATAAATTGGCTTGGGGCAAATGCTAATGAATTCTCATCTGCCATGTCAGATAACTTTGGCAAATTAAGAACTTCACTCTTGAGCCCAGTTGCAGTATCTTGGATGTTGAAAAGATGTACTTAGAGCTGTTTGTAGCAAGAGATTCATGTGGGGAAATATGGATAAATTAGTTTACATCCTTACATCCTGTGCTGGCAAAAAATGTATATTCCCTACAGTAGATAAATCCAAATAAAAGCATTGAAATTAACATTGTTGTTAATTACTATGCTTTAAACTGATACTGTGCTACATTAAATTTGCACCAACCATGATGACTTAACTATATGTAAAATTTCAAAATTGCAGCTTTAAATTTACAATTTGAAGAAATTTAAAGTTATGATTTGTTTACATGAAATTTACTTACCTCTCTGTTATCTAATCTATCCAATGCCTTGCTGTCAGTATATGATTACGTACATACAATGTACATTAGTAGTCTTCTTCTCTAAAGACCATAACTGTAATGAGTTGGCTTTTATACATTAAAATGTCAACATTTTCTACAGCAGCTCCAAGTCCTTCCCACCTCTCAGCTGTGAATAGAAGTAATTACCCCTCCCACTAATACATGCAAAGAAGCATACAGGACCCCCAGTTGAAGACTTATGGAAACACTGTGAGATAGAGGTAAGAACATAAGATGGGATAAAAGATGTTTAGGGATTATATTTGAGGATAAGATGGATAATTACTGGTTTTATATGACTAACTTTTTGTATTTTATTGCAACAGTTGAGTGTTAATGAAATCACTTGGTTTTTCAATATACATTCAAGAAGTGGTTAATAAAATTCTGAGAGAGGTAAAGCAGAGAAGGAAGGGAGGAGGAAGGCTATGCCATTGCACAGCCCAAATCATATTGTTGTGACTCAATTCCTAAACTGCTGCCTAGAAATGACTGCTCTCTGTATAGTGTATAATAACAGTATTCTTTGCTGTTCCTATTCATTTAAAAATATAATGTAATGATTCAGACTGATTAGAAACTTTGCAGATGTTTGCCTTTGCTTTGTTCTTAATGATTCAATTTTCTCTTCCAAATTGTACAGAACATATATTCTAGAAAGAAATGTTTTATTGCTTTTTCTTTTTCACTTTTTATGTACTGAATTGTTTTGCCTATATTTTGAAATTTGCACCATGACCATAAAAGCATTAAAGAAGATACTTGAAAAAAGAGCTCCATCATTTTCTTGGTAGCCATTTTATTATTGTTATAATCTAAACATTATAGATAGGAACTTGGCTCTGAGAAGCGAAGCCTTGGATTCTGGCTGTTAGTAAAAAAAAGCACCTAAATGAATAAAAATTATATTTCATGATATATGAGGAATGTTATGGATACATCTGTTTACACAGAATTCTGACTTTGCACATCCAGGGCCTAAACCTTTTCATGTGTGGTAGAGAGTGGGGGGAAGCGTTCTGTCTTCATGCGCCTATATCCTCTCTTCCTCACCTTCTATCCTAACACAGAGCCTCTTGGGAACTTCACTCAAGCTCCTCACCTATACACTGTTAGCATTGCACCTATACACTGTGTGTCAGTCAGCATTGTTGACTCACTTGTTTTCCATAAAGTTTATTTTAAACTCCTATTATTTATGAAAACTTGTTTTCAATTCTGATTTGTTTTGGGATTTTTTTTTTGCATTTAAATGTGTTCCTTAAAGTATATGATTTCATTTGGAAAAGGAGATAGAGTGTGGCAGGCAATTTATCTCACGTATATACACACAAACATACCAGGTCACACACTTGTATGTTCACATACTCCACTTGGATGTCTGTTGGACATCTCAACATTAATATGGCTAAAACTGACCTTCCCTTCTTTTTCTTTAAAGATTTATTTATTTTAATTTTTATCACAAAGTCAGATATACAGAGAGGAAAAGAGAGAGGAAGATCTTCTGTCCAATGATTCACTCCCCAAGTGACCACAACGGCCGGTACTACGCCAATCCGAAGCTGGGAATCCGGAACCTCTTCCAGGTCTCCCACATGGGTGCAGGGTCCCAAAGCTGTGGGCCATCCTTGACCGCTTTCCCAGACCACAAGCAGGGAGCTGGATGGGAAGTGGGGCTGCCAGGATAGAACCAACGTCCATATGGGATCCTGGCAAGGACTTTAGCCACTAGGCCACGCCACCAAGCCCAACCTTCCCTTCTTAAACCTGTGACTCATGCTGACAACTTCAATTTTGTGATTGCTCAAGGTATAATCCTTAGAATTACCCTTGATTCTCCTCTTTCACTTACCATCCTTATCCAATCTATTAGCCAGTCCTATGGCACTACTGTTAGAATGTCTCCAGAGGGCCCGGCTCGGTGGCACACGTGGTTAAGGTCCTCGCCTTGAACGCCCGGGATCCCATATGGGCGCTGGTTCTAATCCCGGCAGCCCCGCTTCCCATCCAGCTCCCTGCCTGTGGCCTGGGAAAGCAGTCGAGGATGGCCCAAAGCTTTGGGAACCTGCACCCGCGTGGGAGACCCGGAAGAGGCTCCTGGCTTTGGATCGGCATAGCATCGACCATTGCGCATCGGACGGAAGATCTTCCTCTCTGTCTCTCCTCTCTGTATATCCGCCTTTGCAATAATAAAAAAAAATAATAAAATAAAAAAAATAAATCTTAAAAAAAAAAATAGAATGTCTCCAGAACCATAGCATTTGTTACTCCCCCTTGTGTTACCATCTGACCAAAGCAATTATTATTGTGTGGATCTTTTAGGGGACCCCACTGATTAACTCCCCCATCTTCCATCCTTTCTCCTGCTTGAGTCTATTCTCAACATGGCAGCCATAGTCATTTTTTGTCAGGTCATGCTACTTCTTTGTGTTCAATTCCAATTGATTCACCATTTCACACGGAATACAAACTAAAGCTTCTTGCTCTTCTTCACATACTAAGTATGTTCTATCTCAGGGTTTTAGGTACATACTGTTCCCTTTGCTGGAAATCTATCAGCTTCATTCATTCTCCCGTATCACGGGAAGGTCCCAAGCATCCAGCACTCTACTGCCTTCACAGGTATATTAGCAGTGAACTAGATTGGAAGCAGAGAAACTGGAACTGAAATCAGTGCCTGTAGAGGATGCTGAAGTCAAGATGGTGGCTTTATCTACTATGCTACAATGCCAGCCCTACTGAGAATGTTCTAACATCTAATATCTTTGTGGCTATTACCTGCTTCACTTGTTGCCTTTTCATTGAACACCTCCTGGCCACTCTGTTTACAGGTACAGCCTCAACACTCACTATATCCTTTCTCAAAATTTCCTCTAACATTCGGCGTTTTATTTATTTTTATTGTCTGTTTTTTCTGCCTTTCTATGAGGACAAGGATTTTTGTCTGTTCCTTATACTATATTCCACAACACTTGCAATAATCCTAGATACAGTTGGTATTCAGTAAGTGTTTATTGAAGGGAAAGAGGAAAGAACATTCTCATTTGAGTTGTCTTTAACCTATAAACCAAATATTCATGATATCCATCTATGCCTCATTTTAATCACTACTGCTTACCATGCTCTTATAAATAAAATTCCCTATAACCAATTCACTGGAGAATTCTTCATTTGGTAAAACATACTCCAACAAGTGTTTCACAAAAATAACGTCCAGTTGCTAGAATAGAGTTGCTGAATTAATTGACTAAAAATTATCATTATATATTACCAAGGGTGCGTGGAAGTTGGAACTTCACAGGGACCATATTTCCCACACAATAGCTCATTGAATATTGTGTATAAACAATACTCAAATTATGTATGTTGATTCAATCACTCAAGTGGATTGGCAGAATCAAAACAAATGATATCTCCAAATGTCTTACTTGGTAGACATCCTAAGAAACTTCACTATGAACCTCAACTTGTTTCAGCCAGTATTAAATACTAAAATTTCGTGGGTCTCGATGGAAACTAGTTGAATCTGACATTACAGGTTTTACCAATGAATCCCACTGCAGAATTACATCACTGAAGTTACAGCATTAGTGTATAAAAGCAGTTCCTTATCGATAAATATAGTAGGGTCACAAAAGTCAGCTGTTTTTCAAATGGTTATTCACTCATGAAAAGAAGCGGGAACCTTTAGACAAATTTTTTAAAAAGCAAATTCTTAAAGAGTGACAATACTGATAAAATTTAAGTGAATTCTGAAGAGTAAGATGGAAGATGAGAGGCAATCCAATAGCATAGGTGGATATAGATTACTGACAGCTTTCATAGCACAGCACATGATGAGATAACTGATACTAAAGCATTAATATGAGTACTACAGATATTTTTGTAATTTTGCTGTTTTAGTAAATGTTGTTTCCTTTGAAGCATGAAATCATGGTTCTCCTAATACGAACAGAGAAAAACTTTCTCCATACCCCTTCTGAAATTTCTCTTTTCTTTGGATTTCCCAGGCAAACCAATAATTTAAAAAAAAAGACACAGTTGTTGCCTCTGCAGACCAAAGTGGCACTATGTTCTTATCAAATATGTCCATGAATTAAAATGATAGAATGAATGATTAAAGTAATTCATTCTTTCCTCAAACACACACTCAAATTCCACCTCATCATCTCAGGTTTTTGTCACTAATCTGAGACAGCCAGAAGTACAAAAACAGAAAGTTCTCTCTGTAAAATGATGAATAATATCCAGATCTTGAAGATAAGTTTTCCTGTTGAAAAAGCATGCCATTGCATTTAGTCGGACTAAGTTTGGAGATCATTAATGAAACAAATTTGAAAATTTATTGTTCCAAGGCACTGTAAAACTTTTTAAAAAATTTATATAGAAATTAAAAGCAATTAGTATATAGTTAATACATTTAGAAAAAATGCTTGAACTTTTCAGAGTAGCAGTAAAAGTATTTTAAAAATATAATAAATGGAGCATGAGTCTTTTTTTTCTTAGCAGAAGTATTTCACCAACAGTAATACACATCTGTGTGCTACACTGTGACATTTCCCTTTTGCCTTTTTGGGCTTCTAGAAGGATTTCTAAAATTTATTTTAAGGTTTGATGATTTTGAGATTTTGCCACATTCACTTCATATATAGATATATACATACATGCATACATAAGTTACGATTTTCTTGACAACAGAAATATTAATATCACACACAATGTAGGACTCATGCTAATGATCATAAAATCAGGAAAGAATGGTTGGTTGCCATGTAGATACTATAACTCAATGAGGATAATGTTTTTGAATAACTAATGTAAATTGTTGTGCTTCTTCTGCCAGATCCCTGAGGAGCCCCACATCAAGAAGTGTAGAGCTTCAGTGATCAGTAGGGTGCTGAGTTTTCAACTGTCTGGATCAAGATCGCAGCAGCAGTTGTACCACTGACAGGTGGTGATCTGTCTGCCAGGTCATATTTTTATTTCAGTTGACATTAAATAGTATGTCTCTAACAAATACTTTCTGCAAAGGAAACAGTTCTGAAACTGGAGGATTCTCTTTGTACTGTGTACAGTTTAAAGGATATGAATCAAAGATAAAGAAGAATGTTAAGAATATTAAGGTGTTGTTTCAACCTTTTAACATTTTGATGGAATTTTATCATCCAAAAACTATAATCAGTGCTGCAAACAAGGAAAACCTAAATGTGTCTCACAATCACAGCTATTTTTTTTTCAGTTACTGGGCTGTATTTAAGCATGAGATACATTCTGTGTTTGGGGTTGTGTGCAGCTTTGTGAAGGTTGTGTGTTGTACCAAAGGCTCTCATGCAGCTGTTAGCCTATTTACAAATAACTAAGGGAAGTCTACACTGTGCCCAGATGAATGGTATTGAGGACAGACATGCCTAAAAGAAATGTGCCTTGCTTGATTAAACATTCTTTTATTTTAAACTCAAAATGATAGATAAATTAATCTTATAGGCAGATGCTAGCTGAGCTCATGTTACAGAAATGCATTAGTATGCTTACGTTGTCTATTTTAACTAAATTTTAATGTCTATACTTTCCAAAAGATCATATTTAACCATTCAATTTTATTTTCGTGGGATGTTGGTTGTGGCAAGACCAAGCACATTCTTAGAGATATATGTAATAGTTCATTTAATGTTTATAACTTTTCCTGTACAATTACTTATATAAATTTTCCTTGACTTGCTTTCTATTAGTATATTCTTTTAGAAATGGTACTCTTTTTTTCAATTAAAGTTTTATTTGGAAAAGAAATTTAGTAAGTCATGAAAATGATGTCTCACTTGAGGATATTTCACTTGTGCCATTATTAATGTACTTACTGTGATTTTTCAGCAGAATGGTAGCTATTTGTATATTATTTCATACGCCTTATGAGAAGTCAGACTGTGAACATTTAGTATATGGAAAACTTCTCATTTCAAAGTACACTTTACAAAGTACAAATACATAAATAATCAATATCCTATTATTTAAATATATAGTAATAACAAGTTGTAACAGCACTTGCAGAATTTTAATCACTATAAAATATCTCAGTAGCAAAGCCAAGATTTTGTGAACTTTTTGAAGCCCAATAGAAAGAATATATATGTGATGAATCTCATTAGTAATATATAAGAATCAGTAACTAAAACAATTTTATACCTAGCAGCAAAACAAATGGATGGGACAATCTGGGTTACTTTCTTTGAGGTGATCTCACAATAAAGTTTTCACAGTCTTCTAGAGATTTCTTGATGTTCAAAGCTTTGATCTGCATCCTAATTGGCAAAGGTGAAATTAATGGATGGCAACTATCTCAGGTTGGAGCTATGTGAAAACGTCTAATCCAGATGATTTGTGATTCGAACAAGAATAGCCACCAGCTTGTTTTTGTTGTTAGACCGTTTAGTAGAGACATTGGCCCAGAGAACCGACTTAACCCTCATGCTAATAGTCAGAGCCTAGTCAACAGTAAAGCAATCCCCATCAGCTACTAGACGATTGGAATACACCCATCAGCTGTGGATAGGACATCTCAGATGTTCAGGTGTGTCTGTTTTTTTTTTTAAAGGATCAATAGATTTTATAAAAATTAAACCAAAAACTGCCTTCATAAAGCACCAGTGGCACAACGTTGAGCGGTCTAGTGTACTTGTACATCATATCTACATTATTATAGGTTAGAGTCTGAAATAAAGCCAAACCTGGACTTTGGTGATGAAAGCACAGAATGGTTTGGTTGACTAACCTGTCATTCCACATATGGTTCACAGGTTGGGTGGTGATAACAGTACTGGTCTAGTTAACAAGAGATCATGGTTCTTACCTACTTTTTAACTGGGGGACCTTGATCTTTCAGTTGCCATTTCTAGTGTTCATTTTCTTGAATTGCATAATGGGTTCAATCATTCAATAAATTCCTGAGCCCTTTTCCAGTCCCCAGATCCTTCCTCATTATACACATTACTTGAAAAATGCTTTGAAGAATATTTAAGTACTCAGATTTTCTTATGCATTTCTAAAAGGAGAGATAAAATGAAATAAGCTTTTAAGCCTTGAAAGTGCCATCGTGTCATAAATATATCATTCTTCAAATTGATCATAAGAAGAGGGAATAGGGTTCTTTTTATTTTAAGAAGTTTTACTGATTTATAATGGGATCATGAGAAAGTAGAAAATTACTCTGTAGAACGGAAACAGATGAATAAAACAACTAGAAAGTAGGAGAGATATTTGTTAAATTAAGTATTTAAGGTGATTTGAAAATTGTGCATGAAATGGGAAAATGGTACCAAGAGCTTTATTGCACACTCAACATTTAGGAACCTAGGAATAGGGGACAGTGGAAGAATACTGGAGCAATGGAGTGCCTTATGGTCTCTTGACTCTTTTCCATAAGAAGCTGTCTGCTGGAGCTCAGGCAGGTGTCTGCTGCAGTTCTGTTTCTGCCAATAATTCTCATAGCCCTAGGAAGTTCCATTTTGCTTTTTTGAGCCTCAATTTCCTTATCTACAAAATCACTTTAAATTTTCATTTTTAAAAATTTCATAACATTTCCATATTGTTAACATATGAACAGGCTTCAAAAAATTCATGAAAAAAAACGGAACTAAACATTAAAGAGATTTTCCATGAACTCTTTGAAGCTCCCTTAAGTATGTGTACATGTTGTTCCTTTTTGGTCTTTAAGATACCACATATTTCTACCCAAATGACTGAAAAGATTGCAAATCCAAATGTTTTTATTTCTCATGTTGCTAACTGCCCTCAGCAGGACATTAAAAAGTTAAACTTTTCATTTTCACCATCCTTTGTCATTTCGTGTTTACATGCCGAGTTAGTTACCTAAACAGAATGTTCCCATCAGTCTTCTCTTTAATTTTTTTAGCAAATTAGAATCAAATATATTGTGCTTACCAATGAACTGTTAGACACTTTTGTCCCCCTCCCCCACCAAAAAAAATGGTAATGCCCTTTTGGTCTCAGAAGCAATGAACTTACCTTTAAACAAAATTTTATTAGTTTTCTTAATACACAGGAGGCATGACAGAGCCATATTTTAATTAATTTTGCTCAGGAGTGAGAAATAAAATTCAGGGATAATCCAAACACTTCTGTTTGGCATTGGTGGACAATTAGGACAAGAAGGGTTATAACTTTTGCACACGTAGGAGGGAAATCACTGTACCCCTTAGAAAAATCAGTACATTCTTATTGCTGGTTTTATGATAGAAAGAAATTAGGTTGGAAAAGTGCTAAATCTTGGACATTAGAGAAACTGTTAAGATAATCGGAGGCCATTTGAATAATACAGACATATTCTGCCATTCTAAGATTCTTTGTCCAGAGGTTTAGTCTTGTATCCCTTCCATTCAGAAAAGGGGGCAGTTTTTAAAGACCTCTATCATAATAGGAAATGTATATTTTGACTAGTGGAGCAATTACTTAGCACATTTAATCTGATAATTTTGGCTTTGTGCATAAGAATTTTCATTGTATATGTAATTGAGTCTCATGTATTCATGTTAGTGATCATTGTGAGAAGTGACTTTATCTGTTCTTTTAAAAAGTGATGAAATTTGCTAAATGGTGATTCTAGTGCATTGTGTTAATATTGTATCTTACAATTTGTGAACTGATAATACTAAACAAACTGTAGTAGTATTTCTTCTGGTAAATTGTTTCTGTGGTGTGACCTCTTAATACTGGGATTGTGGTTGGGGGGAGGTTAAATTTACTTAAAACTGTCGAAGTGTTTTCCTTACATGCCATGAAACTGTATGACTCTAAACCAAATAAGAGTATCCTCTTTTTGTTTATTTCAAGGACACTGTATAAACCATTTTTGAAACTATTCCATGAAATGGTATGATTTGTGTTTCAAAAGCTCCTATATGTATATACAAGGGAAAGCACTGTGTGTAGTGTTTTTGTGTAATACACTAAATGTTATAGGAATCCATTCTTGAAATCTTCTAGAAATGGTAATTAAGCAGATGTCAGAATAACAAACATGTCGCCTCAATTTTTTATAGGAAGTCTAACGTTTATAGCATATCTTTGCCAGTATCATTCATTTTTATGTAATTCTGAAGCATCCTGTGAAGTACTGATACTATCTGAAGTTTAGAGATTAAACAACCAAAACTTAGAAAGAGCAGAGATTTGTCTAAGAACATCTGGCCAAATAACTAAAACTCATGTTCATTGTGTTACTGTTTTTATCCTATTGATACCATTATATTTAAGGCTTTGACAGAGTTTTAATTCTGAAAGATAAATAAGGAAATTTCAAGTTTTAGTGAAATTTCAAGTTTTACTGCTATTGTGTCAGACCTTTTTGGATACCTGGTTACTATACTGCTTCCATAGAGAGCCATCTGCTTCCCACCTAAAACATGTCAAGTCTATACACCCTAATCACAGATACTGAACACAAAAGATGACAAAATGCTAGATTGAAAAATTATCTCCTCCACTAATCTTTTTCTTTCTTTAAAACTCATTATGATGGATTATTTCTGAAAGGGTGGAAGAAGCAACAATCAACCCAAGTAACCACAGTTATTCAGAAACAGAGAATCAGAAGAAGAAAAAATCATGCTCACCACAGTGACTGCTCTCAGCCTGTTATTTTTCATTGCACAAGTTCTGTGATGGGGTAGCACAGGGTAGGGAGCGGGGAGGAAAATGCCTTTATTTTTGAAACATTAATTATTTTAACTATTTAGAAAAATGGGTTATCAAATGTTGTAGCAGTTTTGTTAACATTTAGCTGCAGCTTAAATATTTGTAGTTTCCCACATACTTAAAAATCCACTTAAGAATTGTTCCAGATTAAATTAAAATTTGATGATTGCTCAGTTGGAATCTGGTGAACGTTCATGTATTAATCCATGACTGATAACATTTTTATTCTTTTCTCAAACAACAGTTAGACACTATTGCTGCTTTCCCTTGGAAGTCAACAGTCTGTGATACATTCTGTACTTTTCTTGATTAGCAATGCAGTGTTACTGTGAATATTCAAATGGAACATATGCTTATTGTATTGGAATTTAAATTTTTATAACCATAATTCTGCTTATCAGATAAGTTTTATTTTGTAAGGTGTGAAATAATAATTGTTCCTGGATAATAATAATAGAATTCTGAATAATATACAGAATAAAACATAGATTTTATATTTTTTCTACATTCATCATATTTTAACACTGAATTTTGTTAATTTGTCATATATCAATGTAAAATTATAATAAGCTCCTACATACACCATGTTCTCTGATGTTCTCATCAATCATTTGGGGCCTTCTGTTAAGTAAATGTCAGTAAATACAACTTTTGATTACATGATGCATTTCATAAAATTTTTCCATGTATTTAATGTGTTTTCATTGCCAGTGTTACATACAGAATTCAATAAAAGACCACCCAAAATATAATTACTTATATTAATAATTCTTACCAAATGACTCCTCTTCCCACTTTCTCATCCCTGAATTTTATTCCTTTGTTTGTTTATGTACTTTTTGCAAAACACGTGCTATTATCAACAGCTCAAACATCTCTAATTCCATTGTGTGTCCTCCCACATGAGTATAAAGATTTCTATACATTACACTTAGCAAGCCTTCTTGGATGCCAACATTCCATAGCTTTCTTCCATTGCTTCCTGTCTGACACTGTTGGAAGTTCAATAAAGTCTCAAGAAAGAAAACATTTCTTTACAATGAGATTATCCTTTTATGCTTTGTGCCACTTCTATGAGAGTAAATTGTGACAAAGCAAGTATGCATTATCTCATCCATTTAGCGTATTGTTCCAAACAAAGCACCCTGAAGTATTAAGGTCAACACAAAGATGACCTCAGAAAGCTTACAATCATATTTTCTGTATATGTCCTTTGCAGCAAAACAGTAACATTTCTAGTAATCACCCTTTTCATACCCTTCATTCTTATTTTTGTGCCTAGCATTGTTGAACCAAAATCATTTTCTTAATAGCAGCTAGTTACTCAAATGTGTTGGTGATTTTGGAACGTCAGCAAATGCTGCATTACCAAAACAAAGGCCCTCTCTCTTTTTTCAGTCTGGAATTATATTTTGTCTAAAACAACACCTCCCTTAAAAATTTTCAGAGTTAGATCACTTTACACATGTGGTAATTAGCAATGAGACAAACAAAACATAAACCTCCAATTAAAAAAAAAAAAACTTTTTTAGGCTTTCTCATCATATGATCTTGGATGTGGATTTCATGAGCTGTAATTTATAAGAATTTCATTTTATGGGACCAAATATTTAAACTATTTCCAAGCATTTACAGACTAAGACATTGGAATTCTCCCAAGGGATTACAGGTGTTTTCCTTGACCCATGCCGCTAAGAGGACTCTCACATATCTGTTGGACTTCAACAGGAATAATGTAGTGCTGAATCATTTATGCACACTACCTGCAGGTCAAGGCCCATTCACACCTCATTCCCTTTTCTGTGCTTTCTTTTGTACTTTACCAATCTTTTGGTTTTCCTCCTATTATGTCTACTGTTTATATGATTGATTCATCACAGCCAAAGTACGTATCATGGTAATAGAAAAGCCAAATTAAGAACCAAAACCTCTGATGAGAATAATCTCGCATATCTTAAGGACAGTGAAATCTTTTTTTTTTTCTTCTGGAAATGATAATGCAACGGAAGGGGCAAAACAAATAACTCAAATCATTTTGAATTACACAATCCACAAGGAAATAAGTTTGTATGACGCAATACCTGACCTGTGTTTGGTTAAATTTGGCCTAAGAAATGCTTTTAGATCAAGGTGAAGAACACAAACTATGTTGCTAACCTTAACAAATTTAAAAGTAGAGGGCAGGTATTAGTAGTTGGTTAGTTTACCCATTATGCCACCCAGGAAAACAAGTAGTTCCACATAATCTCATCTAAAAGTCATCAGACATTGATTGCATGGACAGAATTTAGTCAGAGGACCTGACAGGAATCCTGAAGCTGGACTAAAAAACAGATCTACCTTAAGTAGATATACTTCAGTTTCCTTTTCTCTCTATAGATAAACCAGCAGCTCTGCAGAGGAAACTGCCTAAATTGTCATTAAAAAATTAGGAGATAGACGTCGCATCCATAAATCCAGATGTGAATTTTTGACGCACAGTTAATTTTTGCCTTATAATTTCTGGAGGCAATTTATATGGCTCTTTCAATTTTATATATCCTAGTCTTCCAAAAGTAGTAAATTTGTAATTCAAATAGGCCTCTCCCTTCAGGCATTCTATACATATCAGGTCAAACTCTCAGCATGTGAACAGCCAAGAAAGAACCTGGCAAACATTACCCCAGAGGCAAGCCATACAGGTATATTTGATAGATAAGATTAGATAGCTCCACAGGCATATCCCGGGGGTAACTCACATACTCAAGTTGTCTGGAGTTTGTATTACTGGGGCCTTTCACCTGTGCTATGCTTTATAATATTCATGTTGTTTCAACTCAATTAGAGTTTTATACTTGAGTCAAAGATTTAGATACAGATAAACTACTTTCTCAAAATGTTTTCTTTAGCACACATCTCTTTCCTGAGTGCTATTCTTGCTACATATGTAACTAAGAAAAAAAATCTGTAAAACCAAGAGGCTAATACCACACTTTTTGACAAAGAAACTGGATGAACGGTTATGCAATTTGTCTGACGTGATAATGTGATCAGTAAATTTCAGAAAGTGACTAGAATTCAATGTTTTCTGACTCCTGACCTGGGGTTCTTCGTGCGTAAACAAATTCCACTCTTCCTCTCTCAAGTTCTGGCTTCCCTAGGAAGTGAAGAAACTGGGGATGTTACCATCCCAGCAACTTGAAGAACAAAATGGTGTTTTCATTTTCACTGTCTAATACCACATTCACATGAGCAAACCTAGTCTTAATCTTGGATTAAAGTAAAACTCCATTGTATGTGTCTATTTATTCCTTCACTCAAAAATACTAATTGAGAATCTCCTTCATTACTTCTCCCTTTTCAGTGAAAAAATTGTCTCGGTGGCTGCAATTCTGGACCATTTGTCCAACTTCCTCCAGAACCCAAATTAATCAAGTAATCAAATGTCCAAACCCCTGTGTCCAAAAAAAAGACACAAAAATTGCTGTCTGCTTTTTGGTAAATCTGTGAGCAACTAAAGAGCTGACTTGCAATCTTTTGTACTCACAGTGTCTGGTGTCCAGTGCATCTTCAACAAATATTCATTGAACAAGAAAGACACTGACAAGATGTAATTTCTGCCCTCCAAAAAATCATAGAAATGGTGGAAAATGAGAAAGCCTATGATTATGGCATTGGTAAGTTGTATACCACATAGGCTCAGGGTAAGAGGGCACTTCAGAATGCTCATGAAAAAATAAATGCAAAGACATATTTTAGCTCATGCACATGGAGGAGCCTCAAAGTGTTTATCATATGTATTATAAAAAACAATTTTGTGTACCAAAGTGAATTTATCAATTTATTTTTTCTGCAAATATTAAAAAAGTTGTTTTACCTGATTGGCAAAATACAAAGAGAAGGAGAGGCAAGGAGAGATATTCCATTCTCTAGGTCGCTCCCTAAATGCCTGCTATGGTCAGAGCAGAGCCTAGCCAAAGCCAGGAGCCAGGAGCCAGGAGCCTCAAACCACCTCTGCATCTCCCACATAGGTGCAGGGATCCAATGATGAGGGCCATCCTCTACTGCTTTCCCAGGCTACCAACAAGGAGCTGGATTGGAAATGGAGCAACAGGGATTCAAACCAGTGCCCATGTGGGATGCTGGTACCACAAGCAGAGCCTTTGCCTACTATGTTACCGCACCAACCCCAAACATTTTGAAGTACTGCTGTACCGTAGGAGAGAAGGAAAGCACAACTAGATCAACTGTCAAGTGTCTTCAGTAAGTAAGAGGAGTAGATACTCAATGAGCAACTAGGAAGGGCTGCATAAGGGTGAGGAAGAGTGGCCCCTTGCAGCCAGGGCCAGGCAATTTATTTTCCACAAGGTGTAAAAGTTGTTGTATATTGATGGTCCGCTACTTAGAAACTCTCCACACTGGATGGACAACACAAATGCACACAAAAGAAACTCGATGACTGTTCTAGTCATAGAAAACCTTAAAAGTCATTGAACTATTGCAGTGCTTAAGACTGTCTTGGACTCAATACAACTCCAAATATGTCTTTCACTTGGAAATGTTCCTCTTAATTTTGAAACACATAAGTAGTGTTGATGAAATTCATTTATGCTTTCAAGTCAACCACACTTACCTCATCCAGCTGCTGTTTTAGAAGAGCTGCTTTTTATTCCATGAACTCTTGTGATCCTAATTTTAAGTTTTTTGACTTAAGACAAGCAATTAGATTGTATCTTCAGTGATATTTAAAAATTTCGTGTAGTTTCTACACTCCATCATGAGAGGGACGCTTCAATATTCTTTCTTTAAAAATTTTTTTCTGGCTTGACAAGAGCTCCTGTGTTTAAACTGTACAGTATTTGTACACTGATATCTTTACCAATCCCGTCAAAATGACTTCCAGCTCAAAGGCATACACACATTCTCTCATTTTTATGGAATCTACTGGAAATTAGCCACACGAAGGCTTCGAGAACAGATTTAAGTCATTATTAATATTAAAAAACATGGACTAACAGCGTATGATTTTAGTTACTGATAATTCTAAGCAAACTCTTTATTAAAAGTGAAAAGACAGATTTCCCACTGGCACTGATGGAGAAAAGAATACCACTTATAGTAAAACACCAACCCAGAGGGCTGCAAGTCTTTCTTAATACTTACTCATCACAATGCCTCCAGATTTATTAGAAAGGAACTTGGGGAGCCAGAGAATAATATGCAATTAATGTAATTTGGTGTTGGCGATTTACTCAATGACAAGTTGCATCGCTATTGTTGTAACAAGGATCCAGAAGCTCAGAAGGAACAAAACTCCTCCTTTAAGAATAAATCATGGGCCCAGTGCAGTAGCCTAGTGGCTAAAGTCCTCACCTTGTACTACTGGGATCCCATATGGGCGCCAGTTCTAATGTTGGCAACCCCACTTCCCGTCCAGCTCCCTGCTTGGAGCCTGGGAAAGCAGTTGAGGTTGGCGCAAAGCCTTGGGACCCTACACCCGCATGGGAGACCCAGAAGAAGCTTCTGGCTCCTGGCTTCAGATAGGCTCAGCTTTGACTGTTGCGACCACTTGGGGATCAAAGGTCTTCCTCTCTGTTTCTCCTACTCTCTGTGTATCTGACTTTCCAATAAAAAATAAACATATTTTTAAAAAAAGAATAAATCATGACTGCCATTCTCAGACAATTCTCATTTTTTCCTAGCAGTTGCCCATCAATGCAGGTGTCTTTAATCCAGAATCCTATTGTCTGT